ATCCTATATTCATTGATGTTCACGTCCATGGCCAGCTCCCCGGCACAAAAGACTTTAAGGCAAATGTCCTCCCTGGGGGTGTGGATTCACTGTACCTGAGGTTTCCAAAGTCAAAGCCTGTCCCGTGCAAATAAATGCTACAGTCTCCTGCACGATTCCTGCACTTTGGATGGATAATGTCAGGTCAAAAAGGCCACCTTCTAGTTTATACACAGGCCAGACAGGGAGGATGTCCTTGAGCCTTTGGAATTTGAGAAATGGGAATAGCACAGACCTCCATCCTCAGAAACATGTTTTCCTTGTGTAAAAATATCTTTGGGGCGCCTGGCTGGTTCAGTCGGAAGAGCATGTGACTGACTCTCGATCTCAGGGTTGTGAGTTCAAGCTCCGTGTTGTGGGTAGAGATTACTAAGGAAATAAACTTAAAAATATCTTTATTAATAGCATAAACATGATAGTATTCACTGGGTTTGCTGAACAAAGGATTCATATGGCGCTTCCAAGAACGAAAATGCCAGAGACTAAGAGTAAGTGCTCTTTTGCTGGACTGAGCTTCCCTGGGCTGCCTACTGGCCTAAGCACCCCTCCAGGTCTGCAGCCACACCTCTCCCCTCCTTCCATACTTGGGCATGTCCCGGCTATGTTCTGCCAAATGTGGCCTTGACCCCATTTCATTTTAAGACAAAAGCTTAGCATGGCCTTCTCAAGGAAAAGCAGAGAAGCCTGGAATGAAGAAGCTATCTGTCCACCTCCTTCATGGACCGGGCCAGCAAGGGAGCCTCTTCACACCTGCCGATGGGCAGGAAGGATTCATGTATTCATGCCAGCGATACTTACTGAGTTCCCACTGTGTGGGGGGCACTGCGTGCAGTACTGTGAGAGAGGAAAAGAAAGAAAGAAAGGAGAGAAAAAAAAGAGAAAGAAGAAAACAGGTTCCATGCCTTCTGGGATTTTAAAGGTTCCTAGAAGAAATAAGACAACTATTCATATAAGTAGAAAACAAGATGGACCATAATCAAATGCTAAAGGACAAGCAGAATCCAAAAGCTCTGGGGCAGATGGCTTCTGGAAGAGGGAATCAGAGCTGCTCCCAGATGGCTGCAACTGGGGACAGGGGAAGACGGACCAGAAGTAAGGACGGCTTTCTGGAGTGGGTCTCCAAGGGTGTACACTCAAAGGACGCCCGGGATTTTATCAGACAGGGATGGGACAAAGCCACTCCAACTCAAAATTCAAGAGCACAGACTCATGCTAGAAAGCACAGGCTTCATTCAAGGAACAGCAAGATCTGGTCTGAACGGAGCGGGGGCAATGGCGGGAGGACCACGGGCAGCTGTGGGGCAGCTCTGGCCTGTCATCACACAAGGCCCCAGTTCCGAGCAGAATAAGGAGCTCATGCTTGATTTGGAGATGCTGGGGAACTCACGAAGCTTTCTAAGTAGGAGAGCACCCGAGCGCTCAGGTAGGAGCGGAGCAGGGGCCCTGGAGGGAGAAGAGGCTGGGCCGCTGTGAGAGTTCTGGGCAGAAACAGCAAGAGCCTGAATGCGGACCACGCATGGGGATGAAAACGTCCTTGGAATACACAGGGAGAGATGAGCTTTACCACTTAAACCAGTAGCACAGGTCCCATCTTCATGGGAATTATAAGAACCTTTAAATGTGAGTACCCAGAGGTGCCTCCTAGTCAAATATTAAATAACCACTGTCCAAACAGGGATTGAAGTGTCCAGTGCTGGGTAAGTGTGTCCAAAGGTCCCGAGCTGGACGAACAGAAGAGAGGTCAAGTGGTTTACACTGAACAAATGTTTGAGGGGATGAAGATAAGTGCACAGGTTCCTCTGAGTAATCACGGGGAAGGTCAGGAGACTTTGTTAAACAAAGCTGATCTCAAGGGTAGAAATCAGAGAACGGACGAACCCATCTTAGATGTTCTGGGAGTGATAAAAGGCACAAAGCCCCCACAGCCAGCCGGGTGGGGAGGGCTGTCACAGTGGGTGCCTGTCTCCACCTCAGAGGCACCTGCTCAGACCTGACCCTCTGCTTCAAGACCTCCCCCAACGAAACAACAACCCCAGGGGCGCCTGGGTGGCTCAGTCAGTTAAGTGTCTGACTCTTGGTTTCAGCTCAGGTCATGATCTCATGGGTCCTGGGATCGAGCCCCGTGTCGGGCTCCATGCTCAGCAGGGAGTCTGCTTGAGATTCTTTCTCTCTACCTCTCCCCTGACTCACGCTTGCTCTTTCTCTCTCGGAAATAAATCTTAAAAAGAAATAAAAATAAACAACAACCCCAGAGGTCACTCCTCAGCCCTCAACCCCTCTGGCCTCTCCACAGTATCTGACTAAGATCCTAAAGTTCATTACAAACTTGTCACATTCATCAGGAGGCAAGTAAATTAAGTTTTTAGGACAGGATGAGAGATTTTTGTTTTCTTTTTAATAGGAAGAGTAAAGTTGAAAGTTATTTTTCACGGCCAGAGAAAACTGGGTACTTTGCTTCGAATAAAACCTACCAAACACAGGTGGAAGCAAACAGACCGGAGTTTGAATCCTGGCTCCACCACTTACCATCTAGTGTGTGACCTTGAGTAAGGGCTTGACCTTGCTGAATTTCCATTTCCTCATCTGTAAAATGACAGTCCCACCCACCTCCCAGGACTGCTAGTGAGCCGGACACATGAGGAGCCCAGGGCAGGGCTGGGCTCACAGGAAGCCCTCAATGTCAGTCCCTTCCTCCAAAACCCAGCTTGACTCCTCTACCTCCCAAGTCCCTGAGCTTGGTCATGGCCTCTGCTCCCAAACCACCTCCTTTCCTCTCTTCCTCTTCCCAGGCTTCTAAATCCTCCGGACTGGATGCCTCTGAGTTGGCCACCTTTGTCTTAGTCCTCACCTGCAACACCCCACTGGGAACTATCACTTTGCACCACGGATGTGATACCATGCTTAAGGACATGGGCCATGTCCTCAGACCCGTGGGTTCAAAACCTGGTTCGGCCTCAGACTAGCTGCGTGATCTTCAGGGAGTCACTTAACTTCTCTGGTGATAATAACGTCACTAATCTCCCAAGACAGTGAAGTGTCCGTCAGTTTTGCACAGCGGATGCTAGGCACGAGGCCTGGACCAGAAGGGGATCTGCAAACGCTAGCTAGTGTTATTATCCATTCTTCTTACCTGCGTCCAGTGCCCTCCCCTTCTCTGCTGACCCCGCCTTGGCCGGACTGCGATGCCGGCAGCCTGATGTCTAGGCGGCTTCCTGGCTGCGCTCCGGCCACTGGCCTCTCCCTACTCGAATCAAACCTACATCCTGTTGCCAAATTCCACTTCCTCCCATGCCCCTTGGGCTCTAGTTCAAGAACCTGCTAAGGCCAGTGACATTCAGTCCAAGCCCCCCCCCACCTTCCCCCAAACTCCACATCCTACCACTTTCTAAAAAACACACTTTCTACTCCAACCAGCCAGCCTCCCTTACTGTCACCTGAACCAGTAAGCTTCGTGCCACACCTCACTTTCTTCGCAGCTGCCAAACCCTCCCTGCTGCCCTGCACCTTTGCAAACTCCACTCCGGCCTACAACTTCCTGCTCAAGCTCCGCACCCTCTCTGACCTCTCCGGTCCTCTCCCCTCCTTTCTCTGAACTTCCGCGGCTCTCATCAGTGCCATGGCAGTCATCATCCATGGGTCCTGAAGCGGCCCCAGGGACACAGGCAGATGTGAAGGAAACATCTGGTAATCAAGGGAGTCCAGTCTACAACTGAAGACCAGAATGGAGACGGAGTAGTTAAATGGCATGCCTGGATCCCAGAATGTATCAGTAACACGGGAGACAAGGATGGTTACCATGGCAAAGAGCTCATGTTTGAAATGACTCTTTCAAGAGCTTAGGATGACTTTATACCATAGCAAGTTCCTAGTTACTAGCTGGTCTTGGTTTCATAAGAATAACCACTTTTTAAAAATAGGATTATCTGGTTTTTCTAATTGCTGGACTTCAGATATTTGGATGTTTATTGCACAACCAAGGGAAGGTGCCAAGGGGCGGTTTATACGGTCTTCAGTCCCCCTCCCTATAACCTCCATCAGCTTCCCAAACACTCGGAATAAACACAGAAGTAAACACTGTGCTTATTACACAAATATAGCTCCAAGAATAGTCCTGTAAGCCTCTCCTACACTGAGATTCTGGAACTACCATTGTACACCGGGCATTAAAAAGGCTGAGCAGATGGTATACAAATAAAACATACTGACATCCTAGAAAGGGAGCCCAACAGTGGAAGACGAAAGAGAAGAAGAATGAAGAAGTTTAAATCCATGAAACTAGCTTTCTGATTTTTAGTGGAAATGAAGTGATCAGTTTTATAATCGTTATAACTTGTGCATTTGTTTGTCTCGTTGGGGGTTTAAGATGTTTAAGAGTATCTTGCATATCAGACTTGTGATCGTCATTAAATGCATAAATTAGTCTAAATGTGAACCAATATTTAATGTTTGCATAAATTTGGTTTATTAAACCCATAAGTTTTTTACAGTAGTTGTGTAAGTAGTATGTAAATAGAGGAATGTTGGTTTAATGCTTAAATGTTAATTGTTTAATAAATTCATAAGGATAACAAACTTTAAAAAAAAAATTAAAAAAAAAATAAAAAGGCTGAGCATGGGGCGCCTGGGTGGCTCAGTCGTTAGGCGTCTGCCTTCAGCTCAGGTCATTATCTTAGGGTCCTGGGATCAAGCCCCGGGTCGGGCTCCCTGCTTGGCTCTCCCCCTCCCCCTGCTTGTGTTCCTGCTCTCGCTCTCTCTCTCTCTCTGTCAAATAAATAAATAAAATCTTTAAAAATTAATTAATTAATAAAAAGGGTGAGCATGTCCTGGTTGCCTGCAGCAGCAGGAGGACGGGCTGTCCCCGCCTCCGTCCTGGATACCACCCTCTCCTCTTCCACAAACACCACACTCCTCCACAGCGGGGAATGCTCCCCACCCTCTCCCCATGAGGGCCAGCACCTTACCGCCACCCCGGAGGGTCTGGGTCAAGTCCTCCACCAGGGCCACGGCCTCCTCGCTGCTCTCAGGACGATGCTCCTGCAGCCAGGCTTGAATTTCCCTCGGTAGCACGGTCAGCATCTGTTCCTTGGTGTGCACTTCCGGCCTGAGCCAGCGCCGACAGAGCTCTCGGAGGCGGCCAAGTGCACCCTGTGGCCCTCCAGCGGCCTCCCCGTGGGGGCTACCCTTGCCAGCACTCTGGGGAAAGGGCTCCGACCCAGGGCCATCCTCCTGCAGTACAGCTTCCTGCACCCAAGAGTCGTCCTCCAGGATCATGGTAGTGACCTCCTCCTGTTCATCTTCCTCTTGAGGCACCTGGACCAAGGGGCTCAGGGGGGTGGTTACTCTCGGCAGCTCTGCAGCCATCATCCACCTTCCCAGGGCAATCGCCTCAGGCTTCTAGCCTTGAACCTCAGTCTTCTAGAGCCAGGCTGAGGGAGAAGACACCCTCCTCCTCAAATTCCAACAAGTAGTCTGGCTGGGAAATGAGAAAGAGAACCACAATCAATAAGTAGACTGTCTTACAATAACCTAACTCACAGCAGCCCAGGTCAGGCCACCAAGTGAGTCTTACATCCGCAAATCAATGCAAGTTTCCTGTCCCTCTTAAAGGAAAAATGGCTCACTCCTGAAAACCTCTCTCTGTGGCAAAAGAAGTTACAAAGAATCACAAGCACAAAAAAATACAGAACTTTTCTTTCCAAAAGAAAGAGTATCAGAAATTCAGAGTCCTCCTAAGAACCCAGGACTAAGTTATTCTGCCCTAAATCAGTTCAGACTTGCTACAGAGTGAGCCTTGACCTAACATACAACTCGGTCCCTTAACCCCAGGGCCCATCTAATAGGTAGAGATAATAACACCCATTCTTATCTTATGGGGACATCTTCAGGATTAGCAATGGATCCGGATGTCAAGACATTTTGAGCCTCACTGGGAGGAAGGCAGTATCTTAATTGCATTCTTACCATATGAGTATGAAGTTTTAAAATATTCACACTTTTCAATGTAGTCTTGGCCCCGTCGGGAATTTATCTTTAAAAATCACCATCTTTCTGAAGAAAAATTTATTTGCAAGGAAACAAAACCATAGCATTGTTTCTAATTGCAAAAAAAACCCCGACACTTTAAAAATCCAGCAACAGAGAAATGGTTAATGAATTATGCCACATCCATACAGTAAAATGTATTTAAAACTACACTGACTTAATAATGGCTACCTTTGGGGACGGGGTACTGACCGAGAAGGGACTCAAAGAAGCCTTTGGGGTGCTGGAAATGTTCTGTATCTTGATTTGATGACGGTTGCACATACATATGAAATGTAAGATCTGTGCATGCTGCTGCATGTAGCTTTAAATATTTTTAAAAATTATGCTGACGATTATTAGCCATTAATAATCTGAGATAATCTTCATAAACCTGAAAATTACCGATAAAAACAAACCTAGCCAAACAGAAACACCAGGCACAGTATGATCCCAAATCCGTTTAAAAATGAACACCTACACAAGGAAAAACAAAACTTGGACGTTAATTCTACAAAACGTTGGGAGCAGTGAAATTACTATTTATAAAATAAAGCCTATAAAAGCAATGAAAAATTATGTTTTAAAAATCACTACCACATGACAAAGACTCAGATAATCCCCCTTTTTAAAAAAAGGGGGGCAGGGGGGAAAAAAAAAGAAGAAAGCAAAGCTAGTAGGAACACCGAAGCTCTCAAATGTGTATTTACCAAAGGGCTAGAAGACGCACAGGTATAACAGAAGTCCTGCTTGGGAGCCCGGGAAAACTGCTTCCGGTCAGCTCATTCGCTGTCTGACCGAGGGCAAGACACGCCCCCTCGGAAGCTCAGTTTCCCCATCTCCCAGTCCCAACCCCGCGCCCCTGGCTAGATGTGCAGGGAGCTCACCGCCCCGAAGCAGGGTCCGGGTGCTTTCGCCGAGCGGACGGGGCGCGTCAACCCGGGGGCCCCGGCCCGCGGGCGCGGACAGCGCCCCCGACGCCCCTCCCCCAGCAGGGCTGCCCGCACCGGCTCCAGGCCCGTTATTCCCTCGCCGCGGGCTACTCCCCCGGCCCGCGCCGCTCCAGGCCCGTCTCTCCGGGCTCACCTCTCGGGAGACCAGGTCGGACTCCGGCAGCCACTCCGCGCGTAAAAGCGCCCCCGGGCACGGCCCGGCCCCTCCGGACTCACCGCGGCTCAAGCCCGAGGGGCACCGAGAACAATGGACGGGAGAGGCCCGCCCCCCACCGCGCTCATTGGCCACCGAGAACGCCCCCTGGAAACCCTGCTCTCCTACTGGCGAACCCGGCCCCCAGCCCGACGGCGGGGTGGGGAGGCCGGGCCGACGGCATTGTGGGACATGTAGTTCACCGCGGCGGCCCGGCCAGCGGGCTGGGAGCGGAGCGAGGGTTTGAGAGCCCGGGCGCCGCTGCGCGGGCCGCAAGCAAATCCGCGGACTGGCCCTCAAGACCCCAGGGTTGGCCAGAGTTGGGACCTGGTACCGGTCATTTCACTTCCCCAAGGCCTCGGTGGATTTGCCTATGAAAAATGAAAGTTGTGTGGAGGGGCTTGAAGGTCCGTTTCAGCCGGGGACTGTGTGGCAAGGCATGTTGTTAGGCCCCCCGAAAGGCTGTCCCCGAGCTGGGAGGAGTCCTCCCAGGAAAAGTCCCCCCGCTGCCCGAGCCCGGCCCCCCTCCCCCAACCTGCAGGTCCACGCTCGCACCTGGCCTTGGCACACCCCTTTGTTTTCGCACGTGGTGTTCCTGCTGCTGGAGGCAAGCCCGGTCCTGCCTCTTTTGCCACGAAGAACTCCCATTCTTTCGTCCAGCTGGTCTTCCTGGAGCCTGCCCCATCGTCCGCTACCCCGGGCGCGGACGCCGCTCCCAGCACACCTGTTCCACGTGTCCACGTCAGTCCCTGGTCCCAGTGTTGCTCACCGCGGGTCTCAGCACTGGGAGGTGAGGGCGGGAGAGCGGCCTCTGTCCTTCCCACAGTCGGTGCCCTCGAAGAAGTGGCTGCCCCAACACCGCAGGACAACAGGTGAGAAACCGTCCGGAAACCCAAGGGGGAAATAGGAGGAGGGAGGGAAACATGCTCTCAGTGGTCTGTGATAGAACAATTGTGAATGCTTACGCAGAGCGATCATCGGAGGCGCACAAGCAAATGACTACATTTGTTTTAATTTTTTATTTATATTACATTTCATATTCATGAAAATTCTGTGAGTATTTGAGAAATGTTTTCTGTTTATTTGGGTGATTTTAATCTCCTTTTCTGTGAACTGATTGTATCTTCCCATGTTTGTTTGTTTTCCTTTGATCCAGTATAGTTTACATACAGTGTTATGTTTCAGGTGTACAATAATGAAGCAAATCCATACAACACTCAGTGCTCATCAGGACAAGTGCACTCCTTAATCCCCATCTCCTGTTTCACCCCCCACCCTCGCCCCAGCCACCTCCCCTCTGGTAACCAACAGCTTGTTCTCTCTAGTTAAGAGTCTGTTTTTCGGTTTGTCTCTCTTTTTTCTTTGTCCGTTTGTTTCATTTCTGAAATTCCACCTCTGAGTGAGATCATATGGTATTTGTCTTTCTCTGGCTGACTTATTTCACTTAGCATAATACTCTCTAGCTCCATCCACGTTGTTGCAAATGGCAAGATTTCATTATTATACTTCTTCCCATGTTTTAATCAAATTTATTTGCAAGAACTCTTAGTATATTAAGAAAATGATTTCTTTGTCACAGAAATTGCTATTTCTCAGTTTGCTGTTCTTTTTTGTTTGTTTTTTTAGCATAGAAATTTTTAGGCTATCCCATCTTTCTTTTTATAGCTTCTGAATTTGGTGTCATTCTTAGAAAGTTCTCTGCACCACTCTGAAGATTATCTCAGTTTCACCTGTTTTTCACCAATGAACCCCTGTGATTAACAGTCAAAGTGTAAAGATGCAAGGTGAGGTTCAGCTATCGAATATTACCTCCCTGGCATCTTAATGTATTAGCCTAAAGGAACAACGTGCAAATAGCACCACCTCCAGGCCAGCTCGAGAAGTTTGCACTCCGTGCCTGGATGGGGAGCTCTCAGTGGTCACTCCCCTGGTCAGCATTCCTAGAGAACAAGAAATGCAAAATAGTGGAGGATGGTAATTCTTGGGATGCTCTCATATTACAAAGATTTGTTTTTCCACATTTCCATCCTCCCTAGGAATGGGGATGTATACAAATGGGAAAAGATGTGTTTGGGTGTGGGGATCTGGGGGGTTCACTGCTGAAACTTTCTAGCAGCCTAAGAGTGCATTTACCTCCGCTCCTATCCCAAGCCAACCCTTGACCACAAGAAACTGGCACTGTCTCGTCACAGGAGGATCCTGGAGCCAGCCATCTCTTCCCCGTGCCTGATTCTCCAGGAAGTTGGTCCTGGCCAATGTCAAGTATCCCAGGTTTAGATAGAAAGCAACTCACATTCAGGGCACCTGGGTGGTGCAGTTGATTAAGCGGCTCCTGCCTTTGGCTCAGGTAGTGGTCTCAGGGTCGGGAGACTAAGCCACACAGAGTCCGTTTAGCATTCTCTCTCCTTCTCCCTCTCCCCCGCACCACCCCCACATGTGTGCTCTCTCACATTCTCTTTCAAATAAGTAAATCTTTATTTTTTTCAAGATTTACTTATTTGAGAGAGACAGCATGTGAGCACCAGCAGGGGGAGGGGCAGAGGCAGAGAGAGAGGCCGACTCCCCGCGGAGCAGGGAGCCCAATGCAGGACTCAATCCCAGGACCGCAAAATCATGACCTGAGCCTAAGGCAGATGCTTAGCCAACTGAGCCACCTAGGCGCCCAGTAAATAAATCTTTAAAGAAAAGGGGGGGGGGAGAAAGCAACTCACATTTAATACCAGTTTATGGCATAACGAGCCTGGTGCCCAAGCCAGCCTGGGACAGTGAGCAAGCCTAGAAACACAGCCCAAGGGACGCCTGGGTGGCTCAGTTGGTTAAGCGTCTGCCTTCGGCTCAGGTCATGATCCTGGAGTCCCGGGATCGAGTCCCGCATCAGGCTCCTTGCTCAGCAGGGAGCCTGCTTCTCCCTCTGCCTGCAGCTCCCCATGCTTGTACCCTTGCTCACTCTCTCTCGCTCACTCTCTTTCGCCCACGCTCTCTCTAACAACAACAAAAAAAAATCTTTTAAAAAAAGAAACACAGCCCAATTCAGTGAGTAGGATTGCTCCCCCAAGTGGATCTTTTCTCCATCAACCAAACTACAAGGGTGAGAGAGGCTGTGTGCTACCAATGGGCATTCCTGGTAAAAGCTTCAGAGAACTACTGTGGCTAAGTAAAAGGGACTTATTGAAAGAATATTAGGGAACTCATAGGGTAAATGGGAAAGAGTCAGGCTTAATTAAGAACAGTTGGGAGCCAAGAAACAGGATAAGGCTCAGGCATTGGGGCAAAGGTGCCTTTGGGCCCTGAGGTTGCAGGAAGTATCTCCCCCCGCCGAAGACCCCCCACCATTGCTTGATCTACCCTATGTCCTCGCTGTCCACGAAGGGCATCTCTTTGTATGAAGCATGTGTGTCTCATTTTTGCTAGTTATGCCACAGAAGCAGGACCACTAAACGGGATTGGGAAAAGATTATTACCTGAACAGTGCAGTAGGATGCTGTAAGACTGGCCTAAAAGGAAGAAGAATCTAAAGGGGGCTCCTGGTAGGAATGCCAAGGGAGAAAGAGAAACTAGGGAAGGAGATCAGGGACACATTTATTTTTTTTTTTTAAGATTTTACTTATTTATTTGACACAGAGAGAGACACAGCGAGAGTGGGAACACAAGCAGGGGGAGTGGGAGAGGGAGAAGCAGGCTTCCCGCGGAGCAGGGAGCCCGATGCGGGGCTCGATCCCAGGACCCTGGGACCATGACCTGAGCCGAAGGCCGACGCTTGACGACGGAGCCACCCAGGCGCCCAGGGACGCATTTATTTTAAAGAGGGAGGAGTGAAATTCAGTCCAAGAAGTGTCACTGAACAAGTGTGAAGTGTCCCATGGCGCATGCCCGTGTAAAATGAAGACCTAGAGCAGGATGTCTTTTTAGAATGGAATTTTTCACCCCTCCCAACAAGGCTGTATTTTCACTGTTTTCTTTCTTTTTCTTTCTTTCTTTCTTTCTTTCTTTCTTTCTTTCTTTCTTTCTTTCTTTCTTCTTTCTTTTCTTTCTTCTTTCTTTCTTATGAATGGCTTGTAGTTAGTGTAACAGAGGCGGGAGGAGGGTTGTCTTTGGTCCTTGTCTTTCTCCTCCCGGGACCCTGGTTTTTCTCTTTCTCAGTTGTCCTGTGCTGGCCTGGGCTTCTCTAGCCCCTTTGTGCCAAGAAGGAAGAGAACACTTTACAATCTCGGGCCAGTTCCCATGCCCTACTCTGAACTGGTCTAGTCGGGGATATTTCTTGGAAGACACAAGGGTGCTCTGGGCTGGACAGAATGACTCAGGAGGCAGCTTCGTGTGGACTGGTGCTTGCCAAACACAGAGGCACCGCGTGGTACCAGGAATGGCTTGAGGCAGAGTGTGTTTTCAAGGGGATTTAGCTCTAGAATCATCCATGTTCCCCCAAGTTATTATGAGTGAAGACTAATTATAAAGATAGGAAGGGAAAAATGCAAATACATGCATGTGCGCGCACACACACACACACACACACACACACACTATGTGTACAGTTGACATTTGAACAACTAGGGGCTAGAAGCACTGACATCGCCCCCCCACCTTCACCCCAGCAGTTGAAAATCTACTCAGAACTTCTGACTCCCCAAAAACTTAGAGCCTACTGTTGACCAGAAGTCTTACTGATAACAGAAACAGTCGATTAACATTTGATATACTATACATGTTATATACTGTATTCTTACAAGAAAGTTAGAGAAAAGAAAACATTATTAAGAAAATCATAAGAGAAAATACATTTACAATACTGTATGGTATTTATCAAAAAAAAAAAAAGAATCCACATATAGAGGCACCTGGCTGGCTCAGTTGGGAGAGCATGCCACTCGATCTCTGGGTCATGAGTTCAAGCCCCTACTGAGCATAGAGCTTACTTTAAAAAAAAGAAAATTCCACATACAAGTGGACCTGCACAGTTCAAACCCGTACTGCTCAAGGGTCAGCTATATGTATAATTCCTAGTTCATAGGAAGAAACATTATCACTAGAATAGTTAGTTGACCGCTGGAAAGAGAAAGAA